TGCAGTGAGCCGTGTGGTGAGTTTAGTGCCAGTGAGCCGTGTGGTGAGTTTAGTGTCAGTGAACCGTGTGGTGAGTTTAGTGCCAGTGAGCCGTGTTGCGAGTTTAGTGCCAGTGAGCCGTATGGTGAGTTTAGTGCCAGTGAACTGTGTGGTGAGTTTAGTGCCAGTGAACTGTGTGGTGAGTTTAGTGCCAGTGAACCATGTGGTGAGTTTAGTGCCAGTGAACTGTGTGGTGAGTTTAGTGCCAGTGAGCCGTATGGCGAGTTTAGTGCCAGTGAACTGTGTGGTGAGTTTAGTGCCAGTGAACTGTGTGGTGAGTTTAGTGCCAGTGAACCGTGTGGTGAGTTTAGTGCCAGTGAACTGTGTGGTGAGTTTAGTGCCAGTGAACTGTGTGGTGAGTTTAGTGCCAGTGAACTGTGTGGTGAGTTTAGTGCCAGTGAACTGTGTGGTGAGTTTAGTGCCAGTGAACCGTGTGGTGAGTTTAGTGCCAGTGAACTGTGTGGTGAGTTTAGTGCCAGTGAACTGTGTGGTGAGTTTAGTGCCAGTGAACCGTGTGGTGAGTTTAGTGCCAGTGAACCGTGTGGTGAGTTTAGTGCCAGTGAACCGTGTGGTGAGTTTAGTGCCAGTGAACTGTGTGGTGAGTTTAGTGCCAGTGAACTGTGTGGTGAGTTTAGTGCCAGTGAACTGTGTGGTGAGTTTAGTGCCAGTGAGCCGTATGGTGAGTTTAGTGCCAGTGAACCGTGTGGTGAGTTTAGTGCCAGTGAACTGTGTGGTGAGTTTAGTGCCAGTGAACTGTGTGGTGAGTTTAGTGCCAGTGAACCGTGTGGTGAGTTTAGTGCCAGTGAGCCAACTGGTGAGTTTAGTGCCAGTGAACCGTGTGGTGAGTTTAGTGCCAGTGAACTGTGTGGTGAGTTTAGTGCCAGTGAACTGTGTGGTGAGTTTAGTGCCAGTGAACTGTGTGGTGAGTTTAGTGCCAGTGAACTGTGTGGTGAGTTTAGTGCCAGTGAGCCAACTGGTGAGTTTAGTGCCAGTGAGACGTGTGGTGAGTTTAGTGCCAGTGAGCTGTATGGTGACTTTAGTGCCAGTAAGCCGTGTGGTGAGTTCAGTGCCAGTGAGCCGTGTGGTAAGTTTAGTGCCAGTGAACCGTGTGGTGAATTTAGTGCCAGTGAACCATCTGGTGAGTTTAGTGCCAGTGACCCGTGTGGTGAGTTTAGTGCCAGTGAGCCATGTGGTTAGTTTAGTGCCAGTGAGCCGTGTGGTGAGTTTAGTGCCAGTGAGCCGTGTGGTGAGTTTAGTGCCAGTGATCCGTGTGGTGAGTTTAGTGCCAGTGAACTGTGTGGAGAGTTTAGTGCAGTGAGCCGTGTGGTGAGTTTAGTGCCAGTGAGCTGTGTGGTGAGTTTAGTGCCAGTGAGCCGTGTGGTGAGTTTAGTGCCAGTGAGCTGTGTGGTGAGTTTAGTGCCAGTGAGCTGTGTGGTGGGTTTAGTGCCAGTGAACTGTGTGGTGAGTTTAGTGCCAGTGAGCCGTCTGGTGAGTTTAGTGTCAGTGAGCCGTGTGGTGAGTTTAGTGCCAGTGAGCCGTGTGGCGAGTTTAGTGCCAGTGAACCATGTGGTGAGTTTAGTGCCAGTGAGCCGTGTGGTGAGTTTAGTGCCAGTGAGCCGTGTGGAGAATTTAGTGCCAGTGAGCCGTGTGGTGAGTTTAGTGCCAGTGAGCCGTGTGGTGAGTTTAGTGCCAGTGAGCCATCTGGTGAGTTTAGTGCCAGTGAGCCGTGTGGAGAGTTTAGTGCCAGTGAGCCGTGTGGTGAGTTTAGTGCCAGTGAGCCGTGTGGTGAGTTTAGTGCCAGTGAACAATGTGGTGAGTTTAGTGCCAGTGAGCTGTGTGGTGAGTTTAGTGCCAGTGAGCTGTGTGGTGAGTTTAGTGCCAGTGAGCTGTGCGGTGACTTTAGTGCCAGTGAGCCGTGTGGTGAGTTTAGTGCGAGTGAGCCGTGTGGTGATTTTAGTGCCAGTGAACTGTGTGGTGAGTTTAGTGCCAGTGAGCTGTGCGGTGACTTTAGTGCCAGTGAGCCATGTGGTGAGTTTAGTGCCAGTGAACCATGTGGTGAGTTTAGTGCCAATGAGCCGTGTGGTGAGTTTAGTGCCAGTGAACCATGTGTTGAGTTTAGTGCCAGTGAACCATGTGGTGAGTTTAGTGCCAGTGAACTATGTGGTGAGTTTAGTGCCAGTGAGCTGTGTGGTGAGTTTAGTGCCAGTGAGCCGTGTGGTGAGTTTAGTGCCAGTGAGCCGTGTGGTGAGTTTAGTGCCAGTGATCCGTGTGGTGAGTTTAGTGCCAGTGAACCATGTGGTGAGTTTAGTGCCAGTGAACTGTGTGGAGAGTTTAGTGCAGTGAGCCGTGTGGTGAGTTTAGTGCCAGTGAACCATGTGGTGAGTTTAGTGCCAGTGAGCTGTGTTGTGAGTTTAGTGCCAGTGAGCTGTGTGGTGAGTTTAGTGCCAGTGAGCTGTGTGGTGAGTTTAGTGCCAGTGAACCATGTGGTGAGTATAGTGCCAGTGAGCCGTGTGGTGAGTTTAGTGCCAGTGAGCTGTGTGGTGAGTTTAGTGCCAGTGAGCTGTGTGGTGGGTTTAGTGCTAGTGAGCTGTGTGGTGACTTTAGTGCCAGTGAGCTGTACGGTGACTTTAGTGCCAGTGAGCCATGTGGTGAGTTTAGTGCCAGTGAACCATGTGGTGAGTTTAGTGCCAATGAGCCGTGTGGTGAGTTTAGTGCCAGTGAACCATGTGTTGAGTTTAGTGCCAGTGAACCATGTGGTGAGTTTAGTGCCAGTGAACTATGTGGTGAGTTTAGTGCCAGTGAGCTGTGTGGTGAGTTTAGTGCCAGTGAGCCGTGTGGTGAGTTTAGTGCCAGTGAGCTGTGTGGTGAGTTTAGTGCCAGTGATCCGTGTGGTGAGTTTAGTGCCAGTGAACCATGTGGTGAGTTTAGTGCCAGTGAGCCGTGTGGTGAGTTTAGTTGCAGTGAGCTGTGTGGTGAGTTTAGTGCCAGTGAGCTGTGTGGTGGGTTTAGTGCTAGTGAGCTGTGTGGTGAGTTTAGTGCCAGTGATCCGTGTGGTGAGTTTAGTGCCAGTGAACCATGTGGTGAGTTTAGTGCCAGTGAGCTGTGTGGTGAGTTTAGTGCCAGTGAGCTGTGCGGTGACTTTAGTGCCAGTGAGCCGTGTGGTGAGTTTAGTGCTAGTGAGCCGTGTGGTGAGTTTAGTGCCAGTGAACCATGTGGTGAGTTTAGTGCCAGTGAGCTGTACGGTGACTTTAGTGCCAGTGAGCCATGTGGTGAGTTCAGTGCCAGTGAGCCGTGTGGTAAGTTTAGTGCGAGTGAACTGTGTGGAGAGTTTAGTGCGAGTGAGCCTTGTGGTCAGTTTAGTGCCAATGAACCATGTGGTGAGTTTAATGCCAGTGAGCTGTGTGGTGAGTTTAGTGCCAGTGAGCCGTGTGATGAGTTTAGTGCCAGTGAGCTGTGTGGTGAGTTTAGTGCCAGTGAGCTGTGTGGTGAGTTTAGTGCCAGTGAGCCGTGTGGTGAGTTTAGTGCCAGTGAGCTGTGTGGTGAGTTTAGTGCCAGTGAGCCGTGTGGTGAGTTTAGTGCCAGTGAACCATGTGGTGAGTTTAGTGCCAGTGAGCTGTGTGGTGAGTTTAGTGCCAGTGAGCTGTGTGGTGAGTTTAGTGCCAGTGAGCCGTGTGGTGAGTTTAGTGCCAGTGAACCATGTGGTGAGTTTAGTGCCAGTGAGCTGTGTGGTGAGTTTAGTGCCAGTGAGCTGTGTGGTGAGTTTAGTGCCAGTGAGCCGTGTGGTGAGTTTAGTGCTAGTGAACCGTGTGGAGAGTTTAGTGCCAGTGAGCCGTGTGGTGAGTTTAGTGCCAGTGAACCATGTGGCGAGTTTAGTGCCAGTGAGCCGTGTGGTGAGTTTAGTGCCAGTGAACCGTGTGGTGAGTTTAGTGCCAGTGAACTGTGTGGTGAGTTTAGTGCCAGTGAGCCATCTGGTGAGTTTCGTGCCAGTGAACTGTGTGGTGAGTTTAGTGCCAGTGAGCCGTGTGGTGAGTTTAGTGCCAGTGAACTGTGTGGTGAGTTTAGTGCCAGTGAGCCGTGTGGTGAGTTTAGTGCCAGTGAACTGTGTGGTGAGTTTAGTGCCAGTGAGCCGTGTGGTGAGTTTAGTGCCAGTGAACTGTGTGGAGAGTTTAGTGCCAGTGAGCCGTGTGGTGTAGTGCCAGTGAACCATGTGGCGAGTTTAGTGCCAGTGAGCCGTGTGGTGAGTTTAGTGCCAGTGAGCTGTGTGGTGAGTTTAGTGCCAGTGAGCCATCTGGTGAGTTTTGTGCCAGTGAACTGTGTGGTGAGTTTAGTGACAGTGAGCCATGTGGTGAGTTTAGTGCCAGTGAACTGTGTGGTGAGTTTAGTGCCAGTGAGCCGTGTGGTGAGTTTAGTGCCAGTGAACTGTGTGGTGAGTTTAGTGCCAGTGAGCCGTGTGGTGAGTTTAGTGCTAGTGAACCGTGTGGTGAGTTTAGTGCCAGTGAGCTGTGCGGTGACTTTAGTGCCAGTGAGCCGTGTGGTGAGTTTAGTGCCAGTGAACCGTGTGGTGAGTTTAGTGCCAGTGAGCTGTACGGTGAGTTTAGTGCCAGTGAACCGTGTGGTGAGTTTAGTGCCAGTGAGCCGTGTGGTGAGTTTAGTGCTAGTGAACCGTGTGGTGAGTTTAGTGCCATTGAACCGTGTGGTGAGTTTAGTGCCAGTGAGCTGTACGGTGAGTTTAGTGCCAGTGAACCGTGTGGTGAGTTTAGTGCCAGTGAGCCGTGTGGTGAGTTTAGTGCCAGTGAGCCATGTGGTGAGTTTAGTGCCAGTGAACTGTGTGGTGAGTTTAGTGCTAGTGAGCCGTGTGGTGAGTTTAGTGCCAGTGAGCCGTGTGGTGAGTTTAGTGCCAGTGAGCCATGTGGTGAGCTTAGTGCTGATGAGCCATGTGGTGAGCTTAGGTCCAGCCTCACCTTGAACACCCTGAAGTTGTTCTGAGAATTCTTCATGAGGCTCCTGATGGCAAAAGACATGCGGCTTCCGTCCCTGCAAAGCACACCGAGGCAGTCAGAGATCCCACCCCCCACAGAGCGGCCCCTTCCGTCGTTGGTTGGGGCGAGCGAACATTTAGCGGCCAGCCCCGCTGTAGGCTGCAGAGAGAGCTGTTCTCGGTGCCACTTGCGAACAACCCAAGGCACGCCAGAAGATCCCCGAGGGTTTTGACCGTCTACGAAGCTGCTCGTGGTCTACCCTAAACCGCATCCGCTGCGCAAACCATGCCAGCAGCGGCAGATCCAGATACCCGATGATGCACAAATGGATCATTAAAAAACTCCCCTGTAGTAGTCTGGCGACTGTGGTCATCTGAGAGAGACCATGCAACGTATGACGACGCAACAACCTGAAGCAGAAACATCGCGGCGATAATGATTCATGGCTCCGCTGCTCCTAACGCGGTTATCTGGGCTTGACCACCTGAATGTGAAATTGTAGTCGGTGCTCCGCGTCCACATCAGCAGCCGTACGGAAGAAAAAGGGCCATCTTTCTCAGTGATCAGTGACGTGATGTCTCATCTTCGTCAATATCCAAGAAGTCAGAATCAACTCGGTCGCAGAGTCCACTCTCGCTTCTCGAACTCTGTCCTGAAGATGCTCGACGCAACTTCAAGGGGAACGCCGCACATATCGCGTAGCTGTTTAGACGTGGCTGTGAAAGTCGCCCTCCAACTCACCTGCGGTAAGTAAGTGGGTGAATAAGTGAGTGGGTGGGCGGGAGAGTGATTGGGTGAGCGGGAGTGATTGGGTGAGCGGGTGGGTGAGTGGACAAGTGGGTGAGTGACGGTGACGGCCGTGAGCAATGATGATTCGACGTGTGCGCACTCACCCCGAATAGAGGTCAAGAGGGCAGTAGTCGCTGACCTGCCGACACTTCCCGTTGGCGACCTGGGGAGAATGCAGAGGTCGCGCAGAGGTCACACGGAGATCACACGGAGATCACGCAGTGGTCACGGAGCAAGCGAGGGTCGCAAGAAGTGGCCAGAGGCGGTGTGCGGCAAAGACAAAGATTCCCAGTGCAGCCTTAACCCCCACAAGGTTACGCGGGGAGGGGCGTGCGGTGGTCGTGTCACCATGGTTTTCTGCAGTGAGTAACAACGTCTTTAAAAACAGTGGCGCTACGTTTCTCTGAATAAGATTAACACTGAACAGCTTACGCGTTCCGACATTCAGTGGGGAATGGGGACACCCACCCACCCTGCACCTTGCAGACGTCTCGGGACGAGAAAAAGGGGAACAGAATGTTGGGGGCAAGTGCCGTTAGCGAGCAGCGCCTATGAAAGCCAGCACGGCACATGAGAGGGGTTGGGTGGCGAGCACCACGCCCGGCCGTCTTTGTCTCAATGGCGATGTTTACTACACACGGCACCAGGTACTCATGTGTGGCTGAGTCGACCTAGAGAAGGACAAGGACTGGTTCAAATAATCGTCACTGGTGCAGGTGGTGGCCGTGAACTGGAATCGAACTCGGGTCGCCGGGTTCGCAGTGCAGTGCACTAACCGCTGCATTACCGTTTCTGAAAGTAACGATCCTAGCACCTCCAGCAACCGCGGCATCAGTACAACGCACGTGTGCCCGCGCGCGTGCATGCATCTGGCAAAAACAACCCCCTACATCGTCGGCGGTGCTGGACGGTAACGCCGTGATGGCTGTGAGCAATGCCACAGGGGTGGGAAAGCTGATTCTAATAATGGCGCTCGAAGCCACCACATCGGAGACTCAACCCGTACCCTCGGGGTTCCTCCAGAAATGGCGAAAAGCCATTGCGAGTGGCCACGTGGAATGTTCGAACGCTCACTCTGTCAGGAGCTGGACTGGTACAACCTGGATCTCTGTGATATTCAGGAGGTCCGGTGGACTGGTTCTGGCTCCAGTCACTATGAGGGGTGGATAGTCCTCTACTCGGGACAGGCAACTGCCAAACAACAAGGAGTGGCTCTTCTTCTGAACAAACGAATGAAGGGGGCCTTCTGGTACTGTCCCTGATATTTAACACGTTTTAGTTTTTCCTTCGGACGATCACTCGCTACTTTATAATCACGACGATCGCAATGCAAACATCCCCACCCTATCCAGGCAGGCCAACACATTACCATGGCAAAACGCACCATAATATCCAACTGGAAAGAGCACGTACTCGCCCCACCAACCCTCCCCAATCTAGCCCCCACATCACTGCAGGTATGGGCCGATGCATTGTCAAAAATAGCCGCGATAGAACATCTACGTGAAAAGTTAAGCGGCAGAGAGGAAGCGTATCACCAAAATTTGGAACCCCTCCACAGGTTTGGGGCGCTATGGCGGTGAGATATTACCGCCCTCGCCTGGTATGCAGGAGGTCGTGGGTTCGATCCCGACCCTAACACCTGCTATATATTTGGAGTTTGTGTGTGTCTCTCTCTCTCATCACGATGGCTAGGAGATGTTAACTACTTGCCTGGTATGCAGGAGATCATGGGTTTGATCCCGACGCCTGCTTTATATATTTGGAGTTTGCGTGTCTCTCTCTCCCCCCGTGGCAGGCGCTCTCACCTTGAGGTACTGCTGCATGCAGTAGCGGCACACGCGGCGCTTCAGAGGATTCACCACGCTTGCCGCGCCGGGCAGGAAGCCACACTTGGGCTGCACCAACGCACACAGACAAAGATCCCCCGCGTAACCTTAACAGACTGTTGGGGCAAGTTTGGCGGGAATGGCACACGAAAAGAGGGTGGCCAGCACCACCCACGCCTGACCGTCTTTTGTCTCCCCAGTAGCGATGTTTTACAGACCACACCAGGTACTCATTTGAGGCTGAGTTGACCAAAGGGAGGCCCAGGAATGGTTCAAATAAACGTCATTGGTGTTGTCCATGAGCGGGAATAGGAACTCGGGTTGCTGGGTTCATAGCGCAAAACGCCAACTGCTACACTACCGCTCTGCACACACACAAAAATCCCCCCGTATAGCCTGAACACTGTTGGGGCAAGTGCTGTTAGCGAGAACCTATGAAGGCTGGCACGGCACACGAGAGGGTTGGATGGCAAGCATCACGCCCGGCCGCCTTTGTCAACCTCGTGACAATGTTTACACACCGCGCCAAGTACTCATATGAGGCTGAGTCGACCTAGGGGAGGCCCAGGACCAGTTCAGATAATCTTCACTGGTATTGGTGGTGGCCGTGAGCGGGAATCGAACTCGGGTCGCCATGTTCGTAGCGCAGCTCGCTAACCGCTACACTTACCGCTGACCCGTACACACACATACACACGTGCACACACCCACACACGTTCACACACACACACACGTGCGCACACACACACACGTGCGCACACACACACACACACGTGCACACACAGACACACACGTGCACACACCCACACACGTGCACACACCCACACACGTTCACACACACACACACACACGTGCACACACACGTGCACACACCCACACACGTTCACACACACACACACGTGCACACACACACACGTGCACACACCCACACACGTTCACACACATACACACGTGCACACACCCACACACGTACACACACATACACACGTGCACACACCCACACACGTTCACACACACACACACGTGCACACACACACACGTGCACACACACGCACTTTTATCTCGATGCAGAATGTGGGGATCTCGCTGGGTGGAGGTGGTGGTGGCGGCGGCGGCAAGGGGGGCAGCTGCTGCCCTCTGGTCGCCGGCGGGGGACCCTGCTGCGTTGGCGTCGGTGGCGCTGGTGTGGGCAAGGTGGTCCCGCTCTGCAGGCGCGTCAGGTTGGGCAGCCGCACGGCCAGGCCACTCCACTCGTCCAGGCGCGAGTCGTGCCGAGACTCTGCCGGGAAATGGCGCCCACTCGCTCGGATCGCCGGAAACGGCTCATCACGACTCCTCACGGCTCACCGCGGCTCACCGCGGCTCACCGCGGCTCCTCGCGGCTCCTCGCGGCTCACCGCGGCTCCTCGCGGCTCACCGCGACTCCTCGCGACTCATCACGGCTCACCACGGCTCACCACGACTCACAACGGCTCACCACGACTCACCACAACTCACCACGGCTCATCACGGCTCATCACGGCTCATCAGGACTCACCACGGCTCACCACGGCTCACCACGACTCACCACAACTCACCACGGCTCATCACGGCTCATCACGACTCATCACGACTCATCACGGCTCATCACGACTCATCACGACTCACGGCTCATCGCGGCTCATCGCGGCTCATCGCGACTCATCGCGACTCCTCGCGGCTCACGGCTCACCACGACTCACCACGGCTCACCACGGCTCACCACGGCTCACCACGGCTCACCACGGCTCACCACGGCTCACCACGGCTCACCACGGCTCATCACGGCTCACCACGACTCACCACGACTCACCACGGCTCACCACGGCTCACCACGACTCACCACGACTCACCACGGCTCCTCACGACTCATCACGGCTCATCACGGCTCATCACAACTCAACACGGCTCATCACGGCTCATCACGACTCATCACGGCTCCTCACAAGCTCACGACTCATCACGACTCATCACGGCTCCTCACGACTCATCACGACTCATCACGACTCATCACGGCTCATCACGACTCATCACGACTCATCACGGCTCCTCACAAGCTCACGACTCATCACGACTCATCACGACTCATCACGACTCATCACGGCTCCTCACAAGCTCACGGCTCATCACGACTCATCACGGCTCATCACGACTCATCACGGCTCCTCACGACTCATCACGACTCATCACGACTCATCACGGCTCATCACGGCTCATCACGACTCATCACGGCTCCTCACAAGCTCACGGCTCATCACGGCTCATCACGACTCATCACGGCTCACCACGGCTCACCACGGCTCATCACGGCTCCTCACGACTCATCACGGCTCACCACGGCTCATCACGGCTCACCACGACTCACCACGACTCACCACGGCTCATCACGGCTCATCACGACTAATCACGGCTCATCACAACTCATCACGGCTCATCACGGCTCATCACGGCTCCTCACGACTCATCACGGCTCACCACGGCTCCTCACGGCTCACCACGGCTCACCACGACTCACCACGGCTCACCACGGCTCCTCACGACTCATCACGGCTCACCACGGCTCACCACGACTCACCACGACTCACCACGGCTCACCACGACTCATCACGACTCATAACGGCTCATCACGGCTCATCACGGCTCATCACGGCTCACCACGACTCCTCACGACTCATCACGACTCATCACGGCTCATCACGGCTCACCACGGCTCATCACGGCTCACCACGACTCATCACGGCTCACCACGACTCACCACGACTCATCACGGCTCACCATGGCTCACCACGACTCATCACGGCTCCTCACAAGCTCACGGCTCATCACGACTCATCACGGCTCATCACGACTCATCAGGACTCATCACGGCTCATCACGACTCATCACGGCTCCTCACGACTCATCACGACTCATCACGGCTCATCACGGCTCATCACGGCTCACCACGACTCACCACGGCTCATCACGACTCATCACGGCTCATCACGACTCATCACGGCTCACCACGGCTCCTCACGACTCACCACGGCTCACCACGACTCACCACGGCTCACCACGGCTCCTCACGACTCATCACGGCTCACCACGGCTCACCACGACTCACCACGGCTCACCACGACTCACCACGGCTCACCACGGCTCATCACGGCTCATCACGGCTCATCACGGCTCACCACGACTCCTCACGACTCATCACGACTCATCACGGCTCATCACGGCTCACCACGACTCACCACAACTCACCACGGCTCACCACGACTCACCACGACTCATCACGGCTCACCATGGCTCACCACGACTCATCACGACTCATCACGGCTCCTCACAAGCTCACGGCTCATCACGACTCATCACGGCTCATCACGGCTCATCACGACTCATCACGGCTCCTCACGACTCATCACGACTCATCACGGCTCATCACGGCTCATCACGGCTCATCACGACTCATCACGACTCATCACGACTCCTCACAAGCTCACAGCTCATCACGGCTCATCACGGCTCATCACGACTCATCACGGCTCACCACGGCTCACCACGGCTCACCACGGCTCACCACGACTCACCACGGCTCCTCACGGCTCCTCACGACTCACCACGACTCACCACGACTCACCACGACTCACCACGACTCACCACGACTCACCACGACTCACCACGACTCACCACGGCTCCTCACGGCTCACCACGACTCACCACGACTCATCACGACTCATCACGACTCATCACGGCTCCTCGCGGCTCACGGCTCCTCACGGCTCGTCGCTCATGGCTCGCGGCTTCTCAAGATGGCTCGAAGCTCTTATAGCGCCTCGTGGCGGCTCCTCATGTCAGTGGCGGGCCATCTCCAAATGGGACCCGAGCCTCCATTCCGCTCATAACTGAAGCGACCTCACCCCCATTGTATCGATTCTGCTCGAGGTCGATCCGACAGCCAGGTTAAGGGTGTCGATTAATCGGACCGCCAAGCGCGGCGTCGATTCACTAGCAAGCAATGCGCACAAATCGAGCCGTAACTTGACCCCCCCCCCCCCCCGTTTTGATTGGCTCGCAGTGCATTGTGGAGGAACCACGGATGGGCAGGAAGGCGGCAGCTGCAGCAGAATCAAGCTCTGCCATCCTCTACATACAACATTGTGAGGGGTGAGGGGACTCTCTAGGGGGGCTCTCTGGGAGGGCTCTCTGGGGGGGCTCTCTGGGGGGGCTCTCTGGGGGGGCTCTCTAGGGGGGCTCTCTGGGGGGGCTCTCTGGGGGGGCTCTCTGGGGGGGCTCTCTGGGGGGGCTCTCTAAGGGGGGTTCTCTGGGGGGGCTCTCTGGGGGGGCTCTCTGGGGGGGCTCTCTAAGGGGGGCTCTCTAGGGGGGCTCTCTGGGGGGCTCTCTGGGGGGGCTCTCTGGGGGGGCTCTCTAAGGGGGGCTCTCTGGGGGGGCTCTCTGGGGGGGCTCTCTGGGGGGGCTCTCTGGGGGGGCTCTCTGGGGGGCTCTCTGGGGGGGCTCTCTGGGGGGGCTCTCTGGGGGGGCTCTCTGGGGGGGCTCTCTGGGGGGGCTCTCTAGGGGGGCTCTCTGGGGGCTCTCTGGGGGGGCTCTCTAGGGGGGCTCTCTAGGGGGGCTCTCTAGGGGGGCTCTCTAGGGGGGCTCTCTGGGGGGGCTCTCTAGGGGGGCTCTCTGGGGGGGCTGTGTGGGGGGGCTCTCTGGGGGGGCTCTCTAAGGGAGCTCTCTAGGGGGGCTCTCTGGGGAGGCTCTCTGGGGGGGCTCTCTAAGGGAGCTCTCTGGGGGGGCTCTCTGGGGGGGCTCTCTGGGGGGGCTCTCCAGGGGGGCTCTCCGGGGGGGCTCTCTGGGGGGCTCTCTAAGGGGGGCTCTCTAGGGGGGCTCTCTGGGGGGGCTCTCTGGGGGGCTCTCTGGGGGGGGCTCTCTGGGGGGGCTCTCTAAGAGGGGCTCTCTAGGGGGGCTCTCTGGGGGGGCTCTCTAGGGGGGCTCTCTGGGGGGCTCTCTGGGGGGGCTCTCTGGGGGGGCTCTCTAAGGGGGGCTCTCTAGGGGGGCTTTCTGGGGGGGCTCTCTAGGGGGGCTCTCTGGGGGGGCTGTGTGGGGGGGCTCTCTGGGGGGGCTCTCTAAGGGAGCTCTCTAGGGGGGCTCTCTGGGGGGGCTCTCTGGGGGGGCTCTCTAAGGGAGCTCTCTGGGGGGGCTCTCTGGGGGGGCTCTCTGGGGGGGCTCTCCGGGGGGGCTCTCCGGGGGGGCTCTCTGGGGGGGCTCTCTAAGGGGGCTCTCTAGGGGGGCTCTCTGGGGGGGCTCTCTAGGGGGGCTCTCTGGGGGGCTCTCTAGGGGGGCTCTCTGGGGGGCTCTCTGGGGGGGCTCTCTAGGGGGGCTCTCTAGGGGGGCTCTCTAGGGGGGCTCTCTGGGGGGGCTCTCTAGGGGGGCTCTCTGGGGGGCTCTCTGGGGGGGCTCTCTAGGGGGGCTCTCTGGGGGGGCTGTGTGGGGGGGCTCTCTGGGGGGGCTCTCTAGGGGGGCTCTCTAGGGGGGCTCTCTAGGGGGGCTCTATGGGGGGGCTCTCTAGGGGGGCTCTCTGGGGGGGCTGTGTGGGGGGGCTCTCTGGGGGGGCTCTCTAGGGGGGCTCTCTAAGGGAGCTCTCTGGGGGGGCTCTCTGGGGGGCTCTCTGGGGGGGCTCTCTGGGGGGGCTCTCTGGAGGGGCTCTCTGGGGGGGCTCTCTGGGGGGGCTCTCTGGGGGGGCTCTCTGGGGGGGCTCTCTGGGGGGGCTCTCTGGGGGGGCTCTCTGGGGGGGCTCTCTGGGGGGCTCTCTAGGGGGGCTCTCTGGGGGGGCTCTCTGGGGAGGCTCTCTAAGGGAGCTCTCTGGGGGGGCTCTCTGGGGGGGCTCTCTAGGGGGGCTCTCTAGGGGGGCTCTCTAGGGGGGCTCTCTGGGGGGCTGTGTGGGGGGGCTCTCAAGGGGGGCTGTGTGGGGGGGCTCTCTGGGGGGCCTCTCTGGGGGGGCTCTCTGGGGGGGCTCTCTAAGGGAGCTCTCTAGGGGGGCTCTCTGGGGGGGCTCTCTGGGGGGGCTCTCTGGGGGGGCTGTGTGGGGGGGCTCTCTGGGGGGGCTCTGGGGGGGCTCTCTAGGGGGGCTCTCTAAGGGAGCTCTCTGGGGGGGCTCTCTAGGGGGGCTCTCTAGGGGGGCTCTCTGGAGGGGCTCTCTGGATGGGCTCTCTAAGGGAGCTCTCTGGGGGGGCTCTCTAGGGGGGCTCTCTGGGGGGGCTGTGTGGGGGGGCTCTCTGGGGGGGCTGTGTGGGGGGGCTCTCTGGGGGGCTGTGTGGGGGGGCTCTCTGGGGGGCTCTCTAGGGGGGCTCTCTAGGGGGCTCTCTGGGGGGGCTCTCTGGGGGGGCTCTCTAAGGGAGCTCTCTAGGGGGGCTCTCTGGGGGGGCTCTCTGGGGGGGCTCTCTGGGGGGGCTGTGTGGGGGGGCTCTCTGGGGGTGCTCTCTGGGGGGGCTCTCTAGGGGGGCTCTCTAAGGGAGCTCTCTGGGGGGGCTCTCTGGGGGGCTCTCTGGGGGGGCTCTCTGGGGGGGCTCTCTGGGGGGGCTCTCTGGGGGGGCTCTCCAGGGGGGCTCTCAGGGGGGGCTCTCAGGGGGGGCTCTCTGGGGGGGCTCTCCAGGGGGGCTCTCAGGGGGGGCTCTCTGGGGGGGCTCTCTGGGGGGGCTCTTCAGGGGGGCTCTCAGGGGGGGCTCTCTGGGGGGGCTCTGTGGGGGGGCTCTCTGGGGGGGCTGTGTGGGGGGGCTCTCTGGGGGGGCTCTCCAGGGGGGCTCTCAGGGGGGGCTCTCTGGGGGGGCTCTCTGGGGGGGCTGTGTGGGGGGGCTCTCTGGGGGGGCTGTGTGGGGGGGCTCTCTAGGGGAGCTGTGTAGTGCTCCTCACCGGGCCGCGCCGACTCGATCTGCACGGCCAGGCTCCGGGCAAAGCTTCGGGGCACCGACACCACCTCCTGTGGCACAGACGGGGCACAGACGGGGCACAGACGGGGCACAGACGGGGCACAGACGGGACACAGATGGGGCACAGACGGGACAGAAGGACACAGAGGGGCACAGACGGGGCACAGACGGGGCACAGACGGGGCACAGACGGGACACAGACGGGACACAGGCGGGACACAGACGGGGCACAGACGGGACACAGAGGGACACAGAGGGGCACAAAGGGGCACAGACGGGGCACAGACGGGGCACAGACGGGACACAGACGGGACACAGACGAGGCACAGACAGGGCACAGACGGGACACAGACGGGACACAGACGGGGCACAGACGGGACACAGACGGGACACAGACGGGACACAGACGGGACACAGATGGGACACAGAGGGACACAGAGAAACACAGACGGGACACAGACGGGGCACAGACGGGACACAGACGGGGCACAGACGGGACACAGACGGGGCACAGACGGGACACAGACGGGGCACAGATGGGGCACAGACGGGGCACACACGGGGCATACACGGGACACAGAGGGGACACAGAGGGACATGGCGTGGGTGAGCTGACAGGGACGGACAGGAGGCGTGGGGGTGAGAGGAAGGGACAGGCTTCGCAGGCTACGCGTCACCGCGCTCCGTACCCCGGCATGGACGAAGTTCTTCCCCAGGAGCGGCGCCATGATGCTGCCGGTGTACACGATGGTGCTGTCTAGGACGGCAGGCAGGGCACCCAGCATCTACAAGCAGGGCGCACGGGGGGCACGCGGAGGGCATTTGGTGGGGTACGCATCTCCAGCAGTCTCAGGTTGCACTGTGGGTCTACAGTGAGGGAAAAAAGTATTTGATCCCCTGCTGATTTTGTACGTTTGCCCAATGACAAAAAAATGATCAGTCTATAATTTTAATGGTAGTTTTATTTGAACAGTTAGAGACAGAATAACAACAACAAAATCCAGAAAAACGCATGTCAAAAATGTTATAAATTGATTTGCATTTTAATGAGAGAAATAAGTATTTGACCCCCTCTTAATCAGAAAGATTTCTGGCTCTCAGGTGTCTTTTATACAGGTAACGAACTGAGATTAGGAGCACACTCTTAAAGGGAGTGCTCCTAATCTCAGCTTGTTACCTGTATAAAAGACACCTGTTCACAGAAGCAATCAATCAATCAGATTCCACCACCATGGCCAAGACCAAAAAACTCTCCAAGGATGTCAGGGACAAGATTGTAGACCTACACAAGGCTGGAATGGGCTACAAGACCATCGCCAAGCAGCTCGGTGAGAAGGTGACAACAGTTGGTGCGATTATTCCCGAATGGAAGAAACACAAAAGAACTGTCAACCTCCCTCGGCCTGGGGCTCCATGCAAGATCTCACCTCGTGGAGATGCAATGATCATGAGAACGGTGAGGAATCAGCCCAGAACTACACGAGAGGATCTTGTCAATGATCTCAAGGCAGCTGGGACCATAGTCACCAAGAAAACAGTTGGTAACACACTACGCCGTGAAAGACTGAAATCCTGCAGTGCCCGCAAGGTCCCCCAGCTCAAGAAAGCACATATACATGTCCGTCTGAAGTTTGCCAATGAACATCTGAATGATTCAGAGGACAACTGGGTGAAAGTGTTGTGGTCAGATGAGACCAAAATGGAGCTCTTTGGCATCAACTCAACTCGCCGTGTTTGGAGGAGGAGGAATGCTGCCTATGACCCCAAGAACACCATTCCCACCGTTAAACATGGAGGTGGAAACATTATGCTTTGGAGGTGTTTTTCTGCTAAGGGGACAGGACAACTTCACCGCATCAAAGGGACGATGGAAGGGATCATGTACCATCAAATCTTGGGTGAGAACCTCCTTCCCTCAGCCAGGGCATTGAAAATGGGTCGTGGATGGGTATTCCAGCATGACAATGACCAAAAACACACGGCCAAGGCAACAAAGGAGTGGCTCAAGAAGAAGCACATTAAGGTCCTGGAGTGGCCTAGCTAGTCTCCAGACCTTAATCCCATAGAAAACCTGTGGAGGGAGACTGAAGGTTCGAGTTGCCAAACGTCAGCCTTGAAACCTTAATGACTTGGAGAAGATCTGCAAAGAGGAGTGGGACAAAATCCCTCCTGAGATGCGTGCAAACCTGGTGGCCAACTACAAAAAACGTCTGACCTCTGTGATTGCCAACAAGGGTTTTGCCACCAAGTACTAAGTCATGTTTTGCAGAGGGGTCAAATACTTATTTCCCTCATTAAAATGCAAATCAATTTATAACATTTTTGACATGCGTTTTTCTGGATTTTGTTGTTGTTATTCTGTCTCTCACTGTTCAAATAAACCTACCATTAAAATTATAGACTGATCATTTCTTTGTCAGTGGGCAAACGTACAAAATCATCAGGGAATCAAATACTTTTTTTCCCTCACTGTATGTGAGTCTATGGGTCTATGTGTGAGTCTATGGGTCTGTGTCTGGAGTCTATAGGTTTCTGTTTGAGTATAATGGGTCTCTGTGCATTTCTAAACGGCAAAGATATTCGATTCGGGTGGTCCATATTTCGCGAACATGGAGAATGGAGGGCATAACTGGTCGAGAAGATGCGGAGATTCATGTGGAGCGACAGACCAGGTAGCTTCTACACAGCGTTAGGCAGTAGATACATTCACACATTCACCTTGTTGCCATGTGCAGCATTCACGGGGAACTTGAGAAACTTGAGGACCTCCTTCCCCTGCAACAACATCGTCATAACGACATCATCCCCACGACTTCCTCACATCTTCAACGTCACAACATTTTCATCGTCACCACGACTTTGTCACCACAACATCATCTCAACATCTTCATCGTCACGACATTGTCACCACGACATCGTCACAACATCTTCATCAATACCACATTGTCACAACAACATCGTCACCACGACATCGTCACCACGCCATCATTTGCGGATGAGGGATTTTACCGATTTGCGGATTTTTCCAAGAACATAACCAGAGCCACTGCGACGAGCCAGGGTTGCTGGACTCTCTTAAGCAACGTCACCACATGTGGAGGCGGCCTTAAAAGGAAAACGAATTCAATAATAGGCAACATTTCAGACAATTGGCCTTCTTCACGGCATGCACGTATGCATGCTGAACTTCTTTCGCACCGTGCGTAGCCAACCGCGCTCATCGGAGGTGTGGGGGGAAAGGCCAGAAAGCTAAACACAACAACACGCAGTTCTATAGAGATGAATTTGTCAATCTCCATGATTATTTAAAAGTGTATAGCTCCCAATATCCTAATATCGGAAGAGCATTCCAGGTGGGCGCTTAGGATGAAAGTTACAAATCATATTTGAAACTTGGTTCACTTAAATCTAGATTTGAAGCTGTCAAAGCGGTGGTCCTCAGGTGTGTGTCCGCCTGAGGACGACTGATTGTGTTGCGATCGAAACGTCGTGATTTATTTTATTTTCTACCTCCGTGACTTTACCGAAAAAACCAAAGAGTATGGTTCACTTCCAACATTAAGTCCTGCTATCACCATTGCCCTGCAGTGGTCTCGTAACCCCTCACTGGGAGCTGTTTTATTCTAACCCATCATATAAACCAGGGGTGGGGAACGTCCGGCCCGCGGGCCGTATGAGGCCCGCGAAATCCTTTCGTCTGGCCCTGCCAAGGCAACCGCTGGCCGGACTCGAAATTCAATCAATCTAGGAGTAAACCTGGAAAAGCAGTTGCGAGTAGCAACATCATCAATACCAGCTAACATCACACGCATCACCAAAGAGAAGCAGTTCCAGCCCATCGCATTAGGGGTGAGTTAATTAAATGTTTGACCAAATATAACAGCCGAATTTTTAAGTTGATAATTTTGTATGGCCCGCAAAATATGTTATAAATATCCAAATGGCCCTTGGCAGAAAAACGGTTCCCCGCCCCTGATATAAACTATTAAAAAACTGAAACAATTTTTTATTTTATCAGGTAAGGCTAACTGAGCTATGTCGCTCTTTTTCAGAAGCAACCTAGCCACAAATGATAGATCAACGTAGTGGCTTATCATCATCATCAACTGCAAACTACAAGCAATAACAACCAAACCGACGGGATAAACAAAGCAAGAATCTCATGGCCGAACAAATGTTTTTTTATTCCTATCAAGGAGGGAGACGGGAGGGACGGGCTGAGTCACTTAAACTATTTAAACTGTAAACTATTTTTTATTTTACCAGGCAAGGCCCACCACTAAACTACGTAGCTCTTCTTCAGAAGCGACCTGCCTATCACAAATGACAACTCAAGGAAGTGGTTTATCATCATCACGTGGACATTTACAGCCGCAGCCAAATACTCTAAACGCGCGTTGCTAAATGTGGAGGGGAATATCCCCATTGGTCCGGTGACCGCACGGTGTTCCCATGCCGCGGAATTCGGCCAAGCCGGGTGCAACGGCGGCAAGGGCTGCTGGCTTTCGAGTAGCGGTGCCAACTGCATTGTAGCTGCACGGCGCTCCGCTCGTTGTGAGCGTCGCTCCTCTGCCTTCCGTTGTTGCTGGAGGGCGACTACCTCAAACTACTCAGAAGCATCCTTCACGAGCCGCATCCTCCACAGAGGCCAATCTTGACACCGCTGGCACCGGTCATTGGTAAGTCCATTCCGCTCCACACCCTCCTGTATCGCATCAGCTCCATCTCTTCTCTAGCCCATGTGCGCCCGTTTAGCCCCCTCTATATGGACAAAAAGAAGCTGCTTGGGCATGCGGTGGGCTGGGCATGTGGTAGCCGGACATGCGTACAACCTTAACAGACTGTTGGGGCAAGTTCTGTTTGCGAGCACCTATGAAGGCGGGCACGGCACACAAGGGGGGTAGGTTTGGCCAACACCACACTCGGCTGCCTTTGTCTCCCCGGTGTTGATGTTTAACAGTGAACCAGGTGCTCATGTAAGGCTAAGTCGACCTAGGTGAGGCCCAGAACCCATTGAGATACTCGTGACCGATGGCAGTCGCGAGCGGGCATCGAATCGGGATCGCCAGCTCTGCAGTGCAGTGCGTAAACCAGTACGCCACCGCTTACATTCATTCGCTCGGACACATTCCTAGGCGTGTACAAACACCCACACCACCGCCTCGTCACTGCCACGATCCCACGCCTCCCTTATTCTCTCAGTGACACAAAGAGCAACTCCCTGAGGTCTGACGTCATCCTGGCCCCAGGAAGGGACTGAATGGGAGACTGAATGGGAGACTGAGCGGGGGACTGATTGAGAGACTGAGTGGGAGACTGAGTGGGAGACTGAGTGGGAGACTGAGCGGGAGACTGAGCGGGGGACTGAGCGGGGGACTGAGCGGGGGACTGAGCGGGGGACTGAGCGGGGGACTGAGCGGGGGACTGAGCGGGGGACTGAGCGGGGGACTGAGCGGGAGAATGAGCGGGGGACTGAGCGGGGGACTGAGCGGGGGAATGAGCGGGGGAATGAGCGGGGGACTGAGCGGGGGACTGAGTGGGGGACTGAGCGGGGGACTGAGTGGGATACTGAGCGGGAGACTGAGCGGGGGATTGAGCGGGGGACTGAGCGGGAGAATGAGCGGGAGACTGAGCGGGGGACTGAGCGGGGGACTGAGCGGGAGAATGAGCGAGGGACTGAGCGGGGGACTGAGCGGGAGAATGAGCGGGGGACTGAGTGGGATACTGAGGACTGAGCGGGGACTGAGCGGGGGACTGAGCGAGGGACTGAGCGGGGGAATGAGCGGGGGACTGAGCGGGGGACTGAGTGGGAGACTGAGCGGGGGACTGAGCGGGGGACTGAGCGGGAGACTGAGCAGAGGACTGAGCGGGAGACTGAGCGGGGGACGAGCGTGGAGACTGAGCGGGAGACTGAGCGGGGGACTGAGTGGGGGGACTGAGCGGGAGACTGAGCGGGGAACTGAGCGGGGGAACTGGAGCGGGGGACTGAGCGGGGGAGACTGAGCGGGAGAATGAGCGGGAGACCTGAGCGGGGGAATGAGTGGGGGACTGAGCGGGGGGACTGAGCGGGGGGACTGAGTGGGGGGACTGAGCGGGGGGAATGAGCGGGGGACTGAGCGGGGGACTGAGCGGGAGACTGAGTGGGGGACTGAGTGGGGGGACTGAGCGGGGAGACTGAGCAGGAGACTGAGCGGGGGCTGGCGGGGGACTGAGCGGGGGACGAGTGGGGGACTGAGCGGGGACTGAGCGGGGGACT